AATGCATTGGCTTGGAAGTAAAATGTAATGAGTTTAATCGGTTAGAAAATCCGATGTACCTAATTAGTATTTTTAATTCATTATCATTGATTAGCTAAAAACCACAATACTTAGTTTGATTACAATTAGCAATACCTGGTGAAAAACTAATTCATCTTATTATACCTCGATAACGGATGTTTATTTTTAAACCTGTTAATAATAACTTCACGGACGTCCAAATTTGACTTTAATCGCGAAAAAATTGGTAGAAATTATCTTAATAAGCAAACTAATTAATACATTTTGATTAACGTGTTACTATTCACACATAATCTTTTGTTATTAAACTAGTGGCACGATGCTTGTGTTATGAATGAAGATAAATGTTTTGAATTTATTGATTTAGATATAGATTTTCCCATAATAACATCCATAGTGCATTGTCTACACTCTACAGTGTATCAGTTTGATATTCTCTTACATAATGAGCATGGAGAATTACAGTTTTCTTATTAATTTATTATAGAGATTGACCACATAGTAAAAAATTGCCTTAAAATAGCAACAGTTCACTAAAATACCAAGAACTGCAATATGCTTGTGAAATATAGGTATAACTAGCTGACCCGGCGAACTTTGTTCCGCCTTAATGGCAATAAATAAGCAGACTTTTTTTATTTCGAACGGGATAAAAAGTATCCTATGTCCTTCTCCTGGCTCTAAACTACCTCCCTGTCAATTTTCAGCTAAATCGGTTCAGCCGTTCTTGAGTTATAAGTGGAGTAACTAACACGACTTTCTTTTATATATATAGAAGATTAACACTAAATACATCAGGACATCTATTTCTAGTGACATTCCATACCAGCTATTACTAAATTAGTCTTTCTCCGGAAATCGTTAAAGTAATGGTATATCAAGGTCTTATTTCCACGGTTTCTAATAATAAACAAATCATCGAAAGTTTCACAAAAACTATATTAGAACTTGCTGACTCACCATTCGTGCCATGATTATTATCATGCACTAAACACAGCGTTTGTTTACAATTTACACGAACTGTATTGTCAATTTGGTTTACACTGAGTCACACGTCTGCTTCTCCCGAGAGCCGACACAGGAATGATGGTGTCCTTTAATCTGATCTGTCACTAACTGTTATGTAAACAGTATTTTTGTAAACGTTTTTCTGTAAACTAGACGTGAGACCTACTGGATTACTCGTATGTTAAATAGCACGTGCTTGCAATGTTGATACTTTATAGTTCAATCGTTACGAACTTCCTTATCGTGGTATTATTGTATCTGTATTGTAATTGTAGATATTATGATGTAATTGAATATTTAATAAAACAATAACGATTGTAGACCGTATGGTGACAGTGACAGAGCTAGATAAGTGTGATAAATTTTGTAGAGCTGTTTTATAAGCTTTATTCAATTACACTTTTACTTCTATTTACAGATATACAGTCACTTTTCGTGAACTTTATATTAGAGAAAAACTAAAATAAGGTGGATAATAATAGTATCAAAGTAAATATTTTATTACAATTCAAGAATTTCTTACACAAGTTGTTGCTTTAAAATAGTTTTCACTCGCTTAATGATTTTTTAAATGGATTTACGTAAAGGTAGATCGGACCTAGGATAAGAACATTAGCTAAGTACCGTTTTGTTGCAAAACGAATACCTAGCAAGTTCATATTTAATTTTCTGGTTTCGGTAGCTTTGAATTTATGCAATGTGGTTAATATTATGTGACATATCGAAATTTCCTCAATCGATATGCGCAGACGATTCTAAATACGTAATGAATGACTCATGAGTTTGGTCGAAATCATGGTGTTAAGTCCAACAAGAATCACAAAAAAAGAGGTTTTTCCTTTAGTCCTATAGAATACCTTATTTTTTAACTAAACCAGTTGGTAGCATGTTCTTCGCTAACGTCCAGACATACTTTTTGTGTTCCTCGCAAAAACATGGTAAGTCATAAACAAGACGAACCATACTTTAATCACCCCGCCAGGGTTTGGGTTCAACACCCAAGGACGGGTTTTTGTGTCAGCCTCATCGCTAGTGGTCTAATGAAGATTGTCTTAGCAGGCTTGCACTAACTAGACTGACAGATTCGTGATTTTCGGTCTGCAAAAGAAAGTTTGCACTTATTATTGCGTTCTGTGCACGAAAACTGGGACTCTATATTTTCTGAAACACTCATTAGTTCTTACCAGCTTAAGTTTCAGACTGCTTTGTAGCTTAAGAATATGTTTTCCATACAATTAATTTATCGGCTATAAAATGATTATTTTTTCCGATGCTACCAATTGGGCAACATGGAAAGCATTGGGGGAGGCTTATGTTCAGCAATGGACGTCCTATGGCTGAGATGATGATATTTTTTTCCTAGGCCCCATTAGGTAGGTCTCAAATTCATTTTTTAAATAGTATGAATAAGTTGTCTTGTTTGGAAAGTAAGATTTGTCATTAGAAAAACCAATTAAGAAACATTATAAACGAATCACATATCACATCAGCATCCTTTTAGATCATGAGATAGTTAAATTAGAACCCAAATTACCTACCTACAAATGAGAAGTGTCATGATGATAGTGTTATCATAGGAAAGTACAATATTTTAGGTACCTATAGGTTTGCCCCCCAATTTGTGCTAGTTAGTGCCTTTTAGTGCCGTAGTATGTTATGTGATGTTTTAAAGCGACTCTACTACGGGACTATTCGCAACTCTCTTTCCCACTGCTGCAACTTCTGTGTAGCCAGGATCTACAGCTTGACAGCCAATAAAAACCTAACCCAGTGAAACTCAAGTTTGTCCCGGGAGAAAGTATAAACTGTCATTGGACCCGCAACGAAATTAACCAGAAGAACTTATAAACAAAGCGACTCTACTGTTCATAGCTGCAATATGCTAGTGAGATGGTGTATTAGACACCACTTTTTCGATTTTTGCAGTGCAGTGATTATGCTGATGTCTCGCCACGATACACGTTTCAAGTTCACCGAAGATAACTTTGCATATTCGAGATAACTAGATACAAACACATATTTTTATAAGTTAGTGGAAGGAACTTGATTAAGAACTAAGAATAAAATTTAGAGTTTTGAATTATGATCGGGGAAATCCCGTTATATGAATGAAGCATTGCGTTTGAGTATTTTTAGTTGAATAAAAAAAATATCAGTCAATGTTTTGTCAGTTTCAGACAACTGTTTGTCAAAATCATAGTCAAAATAATCAAAATTCTTCGTATGTAAATAAGTCAGCCAAATTTAAAATGTAAAGGAAATAAAAAGATTCAAAATAATAAAAACAAAAAGAAATGTGAACAATGATACATCTGCAAAAACTATTTACTCTAATTTTATGCGTTTTCAATATACAGCCGGGGCAAAGATGCAGGCTCCATTCGAGGACACATTTCGGGGAGCCCCTACCTGTTATTATTCGGAACGGGAAACTTCTGGAGCCCACTGATAATTTCGGGAACGTCGATATGGAGTATGGAGATTCTATGACCCTAAGCTGCGAGGGCACAGGCTACATCCTTCACCCCGACACCAAAACCAACGTCATAACTGCTTCTGTTTCGTGCTTAGGAGGCGACAACTTTGGCAACGACCAGTGGCTCAACGGTCCTGCCAGATTCACTATGTTCAAGTGCCTGTATCCCCCGAATCACCTCAGTCAACGCACAAACCGCACATGCTTCGAAGGGAACCCCGTCATCGAAGTCGGGTACAAAATACAAAATCAGTTTTACCCTGCCTATGAATCTTGCTTTAACGAAGGTGGCCTCAATGTCATATATTCAAAATACACTCAGAAACCTTACAACGCTGTTTTCCAGACTAGAGTTGATCGGCCATTTTTCGTAGATAACGAACATTACGGTAACATACCAGTGGATTCGTTGTTTTCACCGCGAGGACAGAAAGCAGCTGTAGCGCAACTAGTCGGGCCTATGATTGACACGTACGTGAACAAGACTGAAATGCTTTCAAGAGGTCATCTTGCGGCGAAGACAGACTTCGTGTTTGCTTTTGGTGAACGCTCTACATTCCATTACGTGAACTGCGCTCCTCAATGGACAGGGTTCAATGGGGGAAACTGGAACACCTTGGAGGTTGATCTACGCAATCATATCCACAGAGCGGGCTATGACACCATAGTATACACCGGTACTTACGGGGTCACTCAACTCTTTAATCAATTCGGTCGCAGAGTAGATATTTATCTGTACACAGACGACAATAACAATCCAGTAATTCCAGTTCCTCAATATTTTTACAAAGTTGTGTACGAGCCTTTCTCACAGAGGGGCATAGCTTTTGTTGGTATCAACAACCCGTATTACACTATGACGGAAGCTAAAGAAATGTTCTTCTGTAGGGATATCTGTAGAGGGAACAGTGCTTTCTCGTGGTTGACTTGGCATCCTGACAATCCAAGCGAAGGGTTCACATTTTGTTGTACTGTTCCAGATTTTAGATTTACTGTCAATCATCTGCCTGCGATGGACGTACGAAGTGTGTTGATATGAAACTAAGCTTTATTGATTGTGTTCTGCGTGTTTATTTAAAATTATTGCGTGTGCCTATTTAAGACCGGGTGAACGCTCTCTTTGACGAGGGTTATCAGATGCCACATGTCCATCTCAGGACAGGTCAAGTAATATTCTGTAAATTGTTTATCGTCTTTTTTGTGTAATATTTTATTATAATATTTTACTTTGTTTAAATCATCTGTTTTACTTCCTATTTCAATTTCGAAAATTGCTATAGCTTTCGTGAATCCTCATTAGTTTATCTGATGATTAAGGTTAAGATTATTATGTAATTCATTATACAACGATCGTTTAATGCAATTGATAATTAGGCTTAATCATAATGATCTCATTAATTAACTTCCCCCAATGAACGAGCCCATCATAAAGCGGAGCTGCAACTAAATTAGACGTCACAATAATAGTGCCATTTCACTGAGTACGTTATAAATCGATGTGCGAATTGATTTATGCGTTAAACCTTCAGACGATAAGGTTCTGTGCAGTCCTCTAGTGTCCCTAGGAAAGTGTTTTATAGTTATTTTCTTTGCTTTGAAAGTTGACAGTGTTAAAGTTACAAAAATGAAGATCAATCTGTTTTCGGTAAGTTTGAGTACTGTTCGTGATGGTCTAAAATAATAGTGTGCGTAGCAAAAGTGGATTTTTGTGACTAAACCCAATAATTAACGGTGATTTATTTAATTTCAGGTAACGCTCTTTTTCATGACTCTTGCTGTAGTCAAGGGTCATAGATTTTCCAAATTTAATAAGCCCGAACCAATTGACTTGACCCGTAAACCTCAAATTACCACACCTAAACTCCCGGAAGAACGACGGAAATTAGATATTTTCCCTAAAAGTTTGGTAAAATTTGTTGTTACTTCACCGCCATACTCTAAAGTACGAACTTATTCCCCATACCCAATTACAACCAGAAAACCAGCTATGCTGAACTTAATTTCTCAAAATATGAGAAATATTCAAACTACGAGGGCTCCATTATCATATACAACAATAGCTGCAACAACACAGTTTGTTCCTAGACGCCAGTTTATATCAAAATACCAATTTACTACAAGATCTCCTGTTGAGCAGATACCTAAAGATACCTATTTGTATGACACTGAAGAAGAAGATTACATAGAAGCGCCCAGTACCAATGATAATGTAGTGTATAATAGTGAAAACATTTTAAATAGTTTTGATGAAAATGAATATGAAGATGAGGAAGCTAATGCTACCAAAACACTTAATTTTTATCCTCCAGTCAATAAAAGTCAGAACACTATTAAAGAAATTGATTTTCTGAGTAAGACTGATAATAAAGTGGTAAATATAAATGATAAAACAGACTTATTAGCAGTTGAATCTAATGATAGTAATAAGGTAAACATAAACGAAACAATAAAATCGGAACGAAATGACGACGAAAAAGTAGAATCAAGTATTGAACAACCTGAAAACAAAGAAGAAGAAGGAAAAGTTGAAAGCAAAGAACCTGAAAATGAAGCATCAGAACCTCCTCCAACAGCTATCGAAAAATATGAAACTAAAGATCTTGGGGGTTCACAGTTGGATAGTAAGGAAATTGAGAATACTAGAAAGAAGCGGTTAACAAGCATGATACGAGGTGTCATCTACAACGTGATTGAAGACGATAACAAGCCAATTAAAGAGGAAATTGAGTCGGTCAGTGAAAAGGAAGATCGAGATGAGTTTATATTTATTAGGGACTACTTAAAGGCACCAATTGATATAAAAAAGGCTGTCAATAACATTCCAGCTGTAACTGATGAGTATGTAGAAATCGCAACTGAAATTGCCTCGCTCGAAGAGTATAGTAGACCAGAAAGGTAATAACCATTTTGATTACCATATTTTTGTGTAAAATTTTGTTATGAACACATAACTGTAGCATTTAGAATATTATTGGCAACAAATTCTTATATATTCAAAATTCTTTCAGGACGTGATAAAATGCTTAAAGCATTAGGAAAAATATTTACGAAACCACCAAACCTCAAAAGCATTAATTGTGTAAGTTTATTTCAAAATTATATTTTANCCCTATTTACATTATAACGGTCCAGTAGTTTTTGAGCCTATTCATTACAACCAAACAAACTAACAAAGTTTTCCTCTTTATAATATTAGTGTAGATTTACTAGAACATTTAAACAAGTTGTGGCGTAAATACTGGTTCAACCATGTGAAATACCATGCCAAACTATTTAAAAATTTGAAAATTCATTGGCATGTCTACTTTTGTTATTTTTCTTCTGTTTTTTGTTATTTGTAAAGCTCAATTCATTAGCTATCCTAGATCACACTAATTGGTGTTTCAGTGTAATAATGTTTTTTTTTTCTTTGCAGAAGTGTAAATATTATTGAAGAGGAAAATATGGGAACCACGGTCTCCGGCTTCAAGTTTACAGGACGAGAGCCCCGAGTTAACAGCGATTTAGTTTTCAAGAACATCAACGCATAGTTTAATAATTCGTTATTTATTTTGGATTCTTTTCATGAGTTCGTAGTCGAGTTATCCATATTTTTGTGTGTTATAATTCGTTCAGTTAACACTCGTAATATTTAATCTTCATAACGTCTTCAAATTTAAAATAACTAATTGATTTGATGGGATCGACGATATGCTGATTAGTTTCATTTTAATACCAAATAGGAGTGTAAACTATAGTTTCCATATTAATTTCTAACATCCCACTGCTGCGATATTATAAATGCATGTGTGATGTTCACCGAGTTTTCAGATATTCCCACGATTGGTTTTAGGTGAACGCACAGTTGTTTGCACCGAGCGTGCCGAAAGTATTTCAATTTTTCAGATGATACGCGTTTATATAATTTAGTGTCCGTCTATTCATAAAATTAAAACTGTTATAAAGAGCCATAAACTTTTATGACTGCGGCGCGTGCGACTGCGGTGCGGGAAGTTGTGCAGTCACCTTTTTATATACGGTTAGGAGACCTTACATACCGTATTTTCTTCTGTAAAGTGTAGATATTATGTATTTATTTTAAGTTATTTCTTATAGTGATTAAGTATTAGTAAATTATTAGTTATTTATGTTATAGTAATAAGAATAAAACATGAAAATATTATACATATTTTATTTTAATTAATTAATTAAGATCTCTACAAAAACTTACATTTACAGGCACCTAAAATGTACATCCTTATCCTAGGTACAACATAATGGCAAAATCGATCCTCATCATTTATTTTGTTACATATTATCATCTCATCACACTAGACAATGAAACATAAATAAAATATAAACTAGGGCAAGTTTGAAACACAACGGTTGGTAACTATATTTCATTCCAATTAAAAGATTAATTTAGAGAGTTCAAAATAAATTGTACTTGTAGATCTTATCGAGATTGACTTGAGATTCAGTTCTCGGAATTGTTAATAGATGGCGTTATAAGGAGACATACAACGCGGTGATATGATTTTATCAAAAAGTCTTCCTACTTTGAGTGAAAACTCAGTGCTATTTACAAAGATTTCGTCAGTCAGATTGAATACATAAATATCCAATGACAAAATCATCAAAGTTGAACTAACTAGTACTGTTTGTATGGAAAAGAATAATAAGAAGTCCATAAATCATTATCTTATGGCGTTTTTACTTTACCGTACTGTACATCTCCATAACTTCAAGGTTATGAGCGTATCTCTGATTAAAACGATTAAACTTAACAAAAAATAAAACATTGCAATAAAATTTCAACAGGTGTTACAGAAAGGTTTAAATATCTCCTATTTAACATTATTATCACCACTCTATTGCCTTTATAAAATTATTACTCTACAATGTTACCACAAATACGATCAAAATAAAATATCTCAGGATTTGGTTTGAAAAGAAGCTTTTTTGAACGCTCACTGATGTTATCGTTCGTTCAATATTAAATTTTGTATTAACTATTAAAATGGTCGTATTTGCAATATTTATGAAAATCACTCTGCTAACGCCAACCCTACGTCTTCTATTACATTGTCTATCATCAAAATCACTGGTTAAAGTCAAGATACGCTCATGTTTGTTGTCGGGGCGCGCTCATAGATGGCGTTATTTCTTGGTCAGTCGGAAAACGTCGTTGAGCGGCGTGTACGCTGTCCGCGTCGGGATCGCATTGAATGCGAAGGAGGGCTGCGCGTCCGCTCGCAGGATCACCACACCTGAGGGAGAAGTCATCGTTAATATGGGCATTCCGAGGTACAGACAGCGTCAAATAGTTTGGGACACCCAAGGTAGTCAAAAAGTGCACAACACGTCTTGTTACAAGTGGAATAAGGTAGTGCTGCCGACTTTTTGGTCACTTACTATTTGACGCTGACTTGACTGTACTGCTACACTTGAGGTGATCATAAGCATGGTCGTAACCAGCTGGGAAGCAGGTTAGTTCCATGCTAATGCTATCCAGGAGGATGGGAGTCATTCTGGCCAAGGCGAGGGTCTTATTTAGCAGTCCAACGCTCGAAACATAAGGGTATGTGGGGTAATTTTACAGGGGAAAAGGGGCAGCTCCTTTCCTTTGTCTTGGGTAGTCTCTTTCTACTTTTTTACTTTCAGAGCCCTTTCTAATTATCACCTAGCTACCTAGGTATCTTTTTTAGATTTTTGAGGGTTCTATCATACAATACCATCACCGGAACCTCATAATCTAGATTTCATCGTGCGTTTGTAATCTAATCCATAAGCTGCCTAAACGATTCGATGCTACGCTTTATAGTGTCACTATTTTACATTGCATGTTAGATCTCCTTCACAGTATCAAATAACTAAGAATGTAGGAGCTATAGTTCTATTATTCGTGCTTTTAATTTTTATTAAGCTACTTCATAATGTGACTGTACATTACCAACTACGGTCAAACCAAAGCAAGTGGATTATCCAGCGCCTGAAGCAAATTGAAATTAACGACACTTTCTACCTGAGGGGTTGACTTTCACTTTGATTTTGGTCTGTGGGGACAGCACGCCGTAGTCTACATCCTCGTACAGATCCTGGGAACACAAAGGTTAAAATGAGTTAGTTCTATAAAGTCTTAGATATCACAAAACTGGACACAATGTTACGTCAGCTCTCTCTGGCTATCTGGGTTCCAAACTCGGGCGCTGACGATTTATCCAAAAGACTTTTCTACAGAGGAATTGATGTAATGAAATAGTCCTATTAATGTAATGTAGTTAAATGTAGGCAATAGAAATGAATATAAATCACAATATTACTAGCGTAGATTTTGATTGAGTACACTTTGCTCAAAATTTAAACAAGGCGTTAAGACATGCTAGAAATTCAAAGCTGAAAGGTGATAAAACTAAAGTTTTCAATGGAGTTCAATGGATTGAAAATATACCAAAATCACAGTGATCCTCTTCGATATGGAAATGATAAAAACAAAAGAGGTATTATAGAAGGCTCATCACCATGAATGAACCTCATCGTTACAGAAATGATAAAAAACCTGTTCCTGTAAATCGAAAATTCAATCATGGTATGTGACACCTAGCTGTATTATGACTGAAGTTTACTGACACCAGTGTGTCACAGTCCATGGATAAAAGTTATAACACTCACTTCAACTCTATATCCAGCAGGGTTGTTGAGTCCCAGCTCCCTCAACGTCACGGCCACGTCGGACGGGGTCCCGTCGGTCCTCCTGTTCACGAACGCCACCGCGTACGAGTAGTACTGACCCTGGATGGGCAGGATGGGCCGGGACCAGATTTCTATTCCTCGGTGCTAGAATAAAAGTGTACAAAGTTGGTTTAACCACCTAATATGTGAACATTCAGGAAAAAGGCAGTTTCAAAGAAGGCCTTACTGTTAAGTTCTCGTAAGTACCCTTTAGCATATTCGTTATATGGGGTAAGACAACAATTCCTTGAAAACTTTAGCGCCCAGCGAGGAAGTAGTGGGGACAAGCAAGAGCGTACTTTTTACGTTAATTTTAACGTAAGAAGATGCAACAACTGTAAATTAATAGAAAATAATTGCGTAGTTTCGGCAGAGTAGAATATAACCTAAGGTAGAAAACCGCAAACTTCCTGATGTTTGCGGCTTGGTTTGGCCTGCCTCCCCAAGCTGTCTGACCAGGGTGGAGAATGTAAGGCAAATCCTCCATTTGCCGAGAGAGTCGTCCTCCTGCAGTGGAGACTAAATGCCGAGCTGGCGAATATAAATTGGCATCCTGCTCTAGCACGACATAAACTTCTACAATCTTAGGCCTTTCTCCAGCTGTGATGGTTGAAGAAACAAACACACGAAGCGGAAGATACCCCACCTTGTATATCCTCCTCCCCTGGATGCCCAGCGGGTCCTGGTCCACCTCGATGATCTTCCTGTTCTGCAGGATCGCCTTGTACTCCGGCCTGATGGTGCGCAGGTCCACGCTCATGAGGAGCGGCGCCGCCAGGATCGCCCAGATCGCAAACTGGGTCTTACTCTGCTCGTAGGACAGGCCGAAGTTGCCGATGATCAACTGGAAGAGGGACAGTTTTGGTGCTTACTTCTTTTTGTGACAGTAATTCAGTCATAAATAAAAGACTTGCTGAGGTTGATTCAGCAGCTGTCCGCCTGAAATAATACGCAGAGCAAATTATCGCGCAATATTATTGTGTTCCGGCAGTGAGAGGTAAGATAGCCAGTTCCTCCGTGGTTGAGGATTCCGGGTGAAGCTCGCTTCCACCTTCGGCCTGATCGTCACTTACCATCAGGTGAGATACAGGCTAAGAGCTTCCTCGTTGTGGATAAAAAAATAAAAATATCTTGTGTATTAGTGGAATGATGGAGAACTGAAGAAAATGATGACAAGTATTTCAACAAGTAAGTACCTACTTATTTAAGTAGGTCATTTTATAATATACTATGCTGCTAAATCACAAGGTAAGTTACTAAATCTTACTTTAGCACCAGCTTACTTTAACTTATTAATGCTAAGTATAGAATCCTACTTAACTGATGCTACAAGAATCGTTACTACTAGATACAGTGCTAGGTATGATATACTGCTAATCATAATATCACGCCAAATTCTTAATAGCAGATAACCCAAATAATGTGTTTAACTCATTAAGGATTTGAAGAATAAAGGTAGTCTGATCACTATTACATGATCTTGAACTTTAAGATTTAATCTTCCGCATTGTGGTTTTAAATTTTTAAGAGCCTATGTTTTCCGGTTGAATGTAATATGCATGTTGTTGGGCGGATACTCTGAGATTCAACATTAATCAAACATAAAATACATTTAAAAACTTTTTCGGACNGTATTACCGTGTCAGCATTCTCTAGCTATCTGAGTTCCAAACTCGGGCGTTGACGATTTTACCAAAAGAATTTTCTCCAGTGGAAGTGTTGTAAAGATTATAGTCATAAAACGTGTTATGTACTTTTAGGTAAGGTAGGTACTTAATATACCAATTGCGTTAAAATATTAGCTTAGTGTTTGAATGTGTACGCTTTGCTCAGTATTTGAACTAGGCGTTCAGAAATGATCAAGTACTAAGTAATAAAATTGATTGAGACTTTTGAGAGTTACTAAAACTACATCGATCCTCTTCAATATGGAAATGACTAAAGCATAAATGGATCATGTATGTAAGAGTATCAAGTTTGAAGTGGTCATCACCATTAATGATATCGCGACAGAAACAATATGGAACATGTTCCTGTAAATCAAAGATTCAGTCAGAGTACTTATATGAGATGCCTATTAAACTTTTGTAAATGTTAGGCCCAGAACAGACGGTGAAACGCAACTGCAACGAAACTGCAACTGCTAGTTACTTTTGAGTTGCATCTAAGTTTCTGCCATAGCGTCCGTTGAGAGACCACACATGACACGACCAGTTTGAAACTTTCAGTTTCAGTTTCATTCATCAGAATCATCAGAAAGTTGCAGTAGCGTTTCACCGTCTGTTCTGGGCCTAACTGAATAATTCTGGTGTCACAGTCCATAGATAAAAGATATACTCACTTCAACTCTATATCCAGCAGGGTTGTTAAGTCCCAGCTCCCTCAACGTCACGGCCACGTCGGACGGGGTCCCGTCGGTCCTCCTGTTCACGAAAGCCACCGCGTACGAGTAGTACTGACCCTGGATGGGCAGGATGGGCCGGGACCAGATTTCTATTCCTCGGTGCTGGAATGAAAGGATACAAGTTGGTTGGGTGGTTTTGAAGAGGGCCTTCCTGTTACGAGCTCGTAAGTACCCTTTAGCATATTCGTTACTTGGGATTGGGATTCGAATACAATTTTTTATCTTAGAGAAACTAATGGGTATACCCTTGAATCCCCTGACTATAGAGTGGTTTGGGCTATACTTTCGCGCCTAGTAAGGAAGTAGTAGCAGCTGGGAGCAATCTTTTGACGTTAATTTTAATGTAAGGAGCAACTGTATGTTAATTAAAATATCTTGATTTAGCTGCGTTCCGGCCGAGTAGAATAGTAGAACCTACGGCAGAAAAACAAACTTCAGAGCTTCGTAATCCGTCTGGTCAGCGTGGGGAGTGTAGGTAGTAAATTCGAGAGAGTTGTTCTCCTACATTGGAGATCACATGCCCAGATAACGATGATTATGAGATATTTAAATTGGCATCCTTCTCTAGCTCAAAATAAACTTCTACAAACTAGACGCAAGTCCAGTCCAGTCAAGACCGAAGATACCCCACCTTGTATATCCTCCTCCCCTGGATGCCCAGCGGGTCCTGGTCCACCTCGATGATCTTCCTGTTCTGCAGGATCGCCTTGTACTCCGGCCTGATGGTGCGCAGGTCCACGCTCATGAGGAGCGGCGCCGCCAGGATCGCCCAGATCGCAAACTGGGTCTTACTCTGCTCGTAGGACAGGCCGAAGTTGCCGATGATCAACTGGAAGAGGGACAGTTTTGGAGATTACTTCTTTTTGTGACAGTAATTTACGCCCGTATTCACAAACATTACTATGAGGTCTTACAGTGCGCGTTGATGCACAGTGTGACACACGAATCAATCACAAAGCCCTATTCAACGCTGTGCGTTCCATTTGCTGCTTTACTTAAGCAAGCATCGTTTGTGAATACGGGCGTCAGTTTAATAGGCCTACTGAGATTGATTCAGCATTGGACAACTGAGAATACGCAGACCAAATTATAGCGCATAGATTAAACAATAATATCTTGTGTATTAATGAAATGATGGAGAACTGAAGAAATGGTGTCAAGTATTTCAACAAGTAAGTACCTATTTAAGTAGGTCACTTTATGGTATGCTATTCTGCTAAATCACAAGATCTTAACAATCCAAATAATGTGTTTAACTCATTAAGGATTTGAAGATTAAAGGTAGTCTGATCACTATTACCACGATCTTGAACTTTAAGATTTAATCTTCCGCATTGTGGTTAAAATTTTTAAGAGCCTATGTTTTCCGGTTCAATGTAATATGCATACCTATTGTTGGGCGGATACTCTGAGATTCAAAATTAATCAAACATAAAATACTCGTACATTTAAAAACTTTTTCGGATAATCAGGTTAATTCAAGCCTACATTTATGGAAAACTGGTAACAAATAGTGTTTTCACAGTAAGTGTTGTCCAACCTGGACAAATTCACAACTATCGAGTCGAGAGAGTATTTGGACTACGGACTTATTGGATCATGGAGGCTCCAATACGGAGATAAATTCCTCATCATTGATTAGTTTAGAATTAAAATGGTCTTACCATATCAGGGTCATTCCAGTGCCCTGGTCCAGCATTCGGCACGATGACGTCCTGGTGATTTCCGTAGTAGTCTATGATAGACTCGACGGAGGCCCAAGAGTCTTGGATGTCGTCGAAGTTGCGCCACAAGTTGCAGTGCTCGATGATCGATGAAAAGTTGGGCTGGAATATGCAAAAGATGCAGATTAGATCGAAAACTTAGTTTATATGTCTTATTTAGACAAGGTAGGTGGCAGTAGTATTTATGTTAGAAAGATCGACTTGGGAAGGTAAGAATTTACAGAGCTGTGAAATTGCTCAGATAAAAGTGAAAACTTCATCACAGCCCTAAGTTTTCCTTTCTAGTTTTTGATAAGAATCCTACCCCGGATATGGTGAAGGGAGCTTGCCCAGAAGATGCCTTTTCAGTTTCGCTCGTGCCTCAAAATCTACTCTGGTCAAGGTAGATTTAAATGAAAAGTTAAGGAACAGTCAACAGATACCAATTTCGGTATCTGCTTACAAATATCAGGAATCAATAGGATCCGAACCAAATCTATGTAGAATCGCTTCTATGTGTTGCTAACAAAACGACTAGTAGCCATTTTTTTTGAGTCGGTCCTCCTTGTTCTAAGGCGCCAGGATAGTCTGTTCTAGGTTGTCAAAATATTTGTTATGAATACTGAACATCCAAATTTGAAAATTGAGAGAGACTGTGAGATTGCAAGAGCCCCTTTAATATTCCCATACCTGTATCCCAGCATAAATCTGGTAGACGGGCCAACTGCAGGAGTACACCATCTGGCGGCCGGTGCGGTTCAGCTCAATCCCGAACTCAGGGTACCCGTGGTCCATATCAGCTGGGAGGGCGTAGCACCCGTCCAGCTTCACGTAGTCCACGCCCCAGGAGGCGAATGTGGCGGCATCTGGAGAAGAGGAGTGGTGAACGTGAGTGATATGGATTCGTGGAGAGACGTTTTGGAATTTAGAATTGTGCTCGTAATTCTGATCTAAAATTGTAAATGGGAATTAAAGTGCTTCAAAATATGCCTCAAATTAATCGCTTGTTCGTTTCATCCAAATGCCGTCCAGTGCTGGACAAAGGCCTCCCCCAAGGTTTTCCACAATGAACGGTGCGCTGGCCGCATCCATCCTGCCCACGCTACGTCTTCTAGCCCGTGGTCACCACTCGAGAGCTTTCCTGCCCCAACGGCCATCGTCTTTACGAGCTATGAACTCCGCCGACTGCTACTTGATTTAATGAAATCAAAATTAATATTGTTAAGTAAAGTTTCATCAATAAGTCATTTAATCCCCACTACAGGACAACAAAGCTTTCTAGTTCTCTAACTGTATTGCAGAGACAAAGCTCGGGTATTCTGATCCCTTAACAATAAAGCCTAAGTAGCAGCTTAGGGCTGCTTTTTCAATCGTCGGATAACTTTTAACTGAATAATAAACTTGTAATTTTCACATATTTCCCATATTGAAACTGTCAATGTGCCAAACTTATTCTTCAGTTAAAAGTTATAAATCCGAAAATTGAAAAATCAGCGCGTCTTTTTTTATTTTGTAGTATTTAAGTTGTTAAGTTACTATGTATCTAACTTCCATATTCAGTAGCTTCCACGTTCCTACTGATAGGGAAACAATTATGATAAAATATTAAAAATGACCAATTTAATCATCCATCACTAGAGGAACAATGTTAAAACGGTGCCACTTATAAATACAGGAAGATTTTTAATTGTCCTATTTATCAAACGATTAAGTCAAAACTCTAATCAATGTGGACCTTAGCACGTTGGAATAAGAGTGGTGTCGAGGGTGATGAAGCATGATAACTGATAAGCAATGGGTACACGCAATGCGATCATATTGTATGTCATATGTCTTGTAGCCACCCAAGCGATGGCAATTTGCATAATTATTTGCAGCACTACACCTGGAAACGTGATTTCTATGCCGAGTTATGTCTCGGGCAATAATTTCAGTAGATAAATAAGAGCAACCACCATTAGCATAGAATTTGTAGCAGCTAATGTAAAGTAGTTCAATCACTTCTTTAAAATATAGTCAGTTTTTAGAGATCGTTTAGTTCAGTGGTTCTTAACCGGTGGTCCGCGGACCACTGGTGGTCCCTGGAGGCATTCCAAGTGGTCCGCGAAGACTTCGTAATAAACAAGTGACGTGACGTGATGAGTCGAGGCAACACAACGCAAACGGCGCACAGTGGGCGAGAAATCGACCTCCCCTTCCATAGGATTTTGAAAAAAAAAAATAAGTGGTCCCTGACAAGATAGAAATTTGGTAAAATGGTCCCTCGTGACTTAAGAACGACGTGACGTGGTTAAGAACCACTGGTTTAGTTACTTTCATTTGACTGTCATTTTTTCATGAAACAGACGATAGAGTAAGGAAGAAGAAAAGCAGACAGCTTAGTAGACTTAACCTCTGGAACGGTATAATAGATCCACTTATTGAGTATATTGACATTGGGTCTTAAGACCCAATACATTTTTCAGATGCCTAGTATCCCCGTTTTTCAGGCAGTAACAGTCCTTGTCGCTTGAGTGGGTTTCTTAAACGTAATCTGCTGCTTTTTCTCAGCATTGGTCTATATTCATAAAAATGACCCGAAACAGTACCTAGAACTGGGGCGTGTATGTTCTTTTAAAGCCTACTTACAGATAATAAAATGAATTTTATGAATCAAGTACAACCAACACGTTTAGTCATCAATTTACGTAATGCTAACCTGTTAAACTGACCCTAACAATCATTCTTCACTTTCTTTACCACGACACTGGAATATAAATAGTCTGTTATCACGTATGATCGCCAGGTAATAAAATGTATTGAATATGCAGGTCGTAGAACAAGTTGGGACACACGCTATTGTTTCTTTGCGAAGGAATTAGGTCATACTATTGCGAATTTTTCTTCAGTTCAAATAGTAACAGAGCTTAGGCTTAGGCTTCCCGTAGGCTACTTTTAGTCGGCTTTCTTCAGATTCTTTGTATGAAGAATCGGCCGATACCAAATCAGTATAACGTGTGCACTTTCATACATGTCCATATTGTTCATACTGATTAACAGTCTGACCCAACTGTCAACCGACAAAAAGTCTGTGGTCTGCGGCTAGGCTTATACGAGTAAAATGTAATGCCTTAAAATTTTGAATCTGGACATCATTTTCTAACGGTGAATGATGTTGTCAATTTAGGGAATCAATACACTGGTTGGATGTTGACTATTGTGTGTAATAGAAAAAATAATGGAGAAGAAACAGAAGTAATTTAAATAACCATTAAAGACGCACAACTAACTGAACCACTGATTGATGAAGTCTGACATCATAAAGACTGTAACGATCGAACGTGGTCCAATATTATCGACAATCAAAGCCTTGCAGGGCAAATTGAACCTTTGACCTTTAGAATAAAGGTTACCAACCCACCGAATGGGAGCTGTATAGAGCAGACCGCTTTCTTGTGATGCCGCATTTGGCAATACGTGATTATGTCCGTCCATAATTGTGATGATGACTTCATTTTCAGTCTGTTTCTAGGCTACAATTTCGATAATGACTGCCGATCTGCCGAATGTCAATCTGATGACTTGTTAAAGGGTAAAGATTCCATTCTCCTTGGTTCTGTACTTCTTTTTCTATCACCGGGTTGATCACTGAGGCTTAGACTAGGCGCAGACCACCGATTTTTAGTTGGCCGATAGTTGTGCCCGATTTTAAATTGTATGAAGAATCAGCCGAATCAAATCGGTGTAATGTGCGCACTTCCATACATGCCCATTGCCCATACTGATCAACTGCCCGACTAAGCTATCGGCCGACGAAAAATCGATGGTCTGCGCCTAGGCTTAATCCTAGAGGATAAACTTCTTCTGTTATTTCTGGCAATGTTCTAGCGAAACAGAGACAAAATTTCACACATGAGTGTTCCATCTGGGGTGGATTGGGTAAGAGAGCACCTACAAATCCAGACCCCATTATGTTTTTACGTGATAGATTTTTATTCAAAACACAAAAAACTAATCTATATATATAAAAATGAAACCCGTTTTCCGTTGTCACGACATAACATGAAAACGGCTTGACCGATTTGGCTGATTTTTTTTTGTAGTTTTCTAATACTCTGTACAAGGTTTTTACGGAAAAAAATATAAAGAAAATCTCTACGCTAAGGCGGTACGAAGTTCGCCGGGTCAGCTAGTTAACTATAGAAATGTTTTGCTCTATTGATAAAGAATGGGCTTACTAAGATGAAATCGGGTTGATTAATACTTATTCAGAGAAAAAAATAGATCAGTACATGGCATAATTGTATCTAAATAATGTCATTATGGAAACTTATTAATACTAACCGCCTTGTAGATGGCCGACCACGCCGGGGTATCCAGCGCAAGTGAAGTTGCCGTAGTCCTCGTAGATGCCGAATTTCAACCCTTTACTGTGTACCTGCAAAGAATATAAAAGTAAATTTAGTCACTGCAATCCACATAATAAAGAAGAAGTTATGACACTCCCTGCATCGTTTATTTTCCCCATAGCTAGTCTCTTTTTACTTTTCAAGAAGGGCGTTGCAAATCAGGATGGTATTTTTAATATCCTTTTTGTTCACCTTATAGTAAAGATTAAATCAGTTAAAATAGATTTCTTTTTATACATAGGTCTTACAGATTACTCATAGCTAGGTATAGTGATTTTGATATTGTTTCTCGGACTTATAATTGATTTTTTTGTGAAGCCGCAAAAATTCATTGCTCAAAAAGCCCATTTTGAAGCACAATTATGCCTTCATAGTTAGATAATCTGTTTTATTGTTATGAAATATTAAATTGCAAAAAGCATGATCATTATCTGAAGTGATTATTATAATAGTATAACGATATCACAGACGAGTCATTCACTCCTACACGAGGCATCAAGGTTAATAATCTTGTACCTATTATACACCTTTGTTATCATAAATCTATTAGTTTCTCAATATCTCATTCTATTGTTTTAAATATATTAAAGAAGTTAGCTGAAAAAAGGCTGCGGAGGTCATGTGTGTGTGCAGATTTAAAAAGGGAATTAAAAAACTAAAGCGATTAAACGATTCATAAAATCATGAGCGTTAAGTATTTTATTTTAGATAGTAATAAAGATAAGAAGATTATTAGAGACAAAAAAGATGAGAGAGATCATTTAATTTTGATAACTCTACACACACGAGCTCGTTACTACACTACAATTTAAAGAATTCAACGAACCAGCAAAGAAGAAAGTACAATTTCTTCTATTATGTGGAATGTAACAACTGGAGTCTCAATTCTAGAGTCATCCTTCATGACCCGTTACAAAGACATGCCTCGATGTAAGAATAAAGATTTCAAGATTTCAAGATCAAGAGAGTTCAATCCTACATAGAGGCGTTGTTCTTGTCGGCTCTCCTAAAGTAATGCCATAGTAAAATAGATATCTAGGTACATCATGACTAGTTTTCTTACTATTAGACACTGAATCACTTTACCAGCATGCTACTAGATACTTGGTAGTCTAAACCCAGTTACGCCACCGTGGGAACCGCTCGGTGTTACGAAACGCGATGGCACACTAATGGAAGGTGTAATGGCTTCCTCTACACTCCGTAAGTAGTGTAGCACTAGCTTCTGGGCTGAGGCTTAAAGTACTATGGCCTAAATCCCTTCTATTGAACTGCTAGTAGTATACTGCTACACACATGCAAAATATTCATTTGTGATTTTAATTATACAGGGTGTCTCAAAATTGCCACGTCACACTGATACTGGTGCCTTCTTAGGCTCATGCCCTCTGGGGTCTGTATGTGGTGCTAATTTTGGGACACTGTATAAGTATTTGAATTTTTTTTCTTTCTATTTCATTCGGAAAGTTTTGTTTTTTAGTCTGTTAATGATAAAAATAAACATAATATAAGTAGTAGATGCAGGACACAAAATTATACTCGTAAAAAGAAAATCATACATTTCTATCACGTAACTTAAAGAAATGGAATCTTTGTCCAATTATAATTACAAATCTGAATCAATCAATCGTCTAAAACAAGATACACCTTATGTGACGTCTTAGTAAAATTGTAAACAAACCAGGCATAAAAGCTTGCAAATTTCGCAATAATTAAAGTATTACTAAACAATAATGAACTTGCCATTTGCATATTATCAGATTGCCCTAGGCGTTAGCAGATCTATTTGTCACTGTGCGCAGACGCAAATCTCGATAGCATTGTTTACGACTTCGTACAGGCGGTCCAACACTGTCTATGGTTGCGGCAACTATTCCTGAATGTGCTTAGTAATCAACTGTTAAAAGTCAAACATAAGTAGTATAAGTACGAAACATTTAATACTATTCATAGTTTCTTAATCTGTAGTCATATATCAAGCTGAAGAGTTTGTTTAATATTATGTGGTTAAACGTGCTTATTTCAGGAATTACCTACTGTCCCGATTTTGTGTTGGATAACGAAACCCGCTACGACCGATAGAAGTGATGAAAATTGTTTCAAAAATAAGAAAAACATACCTATTCCACTACGATTTTTACAGTTTATACTCGAAAGAAGTCGCGGGCACAGCTTATAAAAGCTCGACTTCTATGGCTTAGACTCAAATATTGCACAAGAAATTAATAAAGCAATGGCCTCAATAACGAGCTTTTGCCCAATAACAGCCTAATCTCAGAAATTATCTCTAACCTATAAAGGTACTTTGAATTGGATTTCAACTTCCATTTCAACCAGAAAGGTTGTATTTACCCATTATCCGTGACCATAGAGTCAAGTCGAGCAGTAAACGCCCACACCTTGACCTTAAGGTGCTCTACCATCGACAAATAGCAAATTTTTCATTAAGTTCAAACTGTTCCTGGAAGGTTAAACTACTTTAGATAAACCACTATAAATCTTAAAGACAAATTGGCAGTTAAATTTTACCATAGGTTTGCTTCAGAAAGGTCATATCATGAACAATGCGTCTGTAGGCATGGTGATCTGTTTCTATTTTATCAAGATAAGAAATTGACTGCACGATTCTGACTTCATAACAAAAAGTTTTATTACCTCACGCTTTAACTGGATCAATAATTAATACGAGAAATACAACATAATAATCAAAAATATTCTCAGAATCAGCTGATGAAATTAATGAAATATTTAAGTAAGCGCTCCTTGAAGTGTTAACACATTGCATTGATAATTCATGTAATAATAAGCTGAATGAACCTAATTTAGGTACTGGATTTACATGACCCAATGAAAACGGTCCACAAAAAAAATGGATCAAGAAAGGTCATCAAGTGCCTTTACTAAGTTGCAACCTCTTTGTTATTTGCACCGAAAGCCGTGAGAACCACACCCGATCCCTCGAAGGTTAGATCAGTGACAGATAATGCTGTTATACACTTGTTTGTATCATTGTTCGAAGGTTCACCCATTGTCGGTGGGTTCACATCAGGGCCATGGTGTTTCGAAATGCAATTGTTGTAATGAGATTGTTGCAACTGAGATCTGTGGAAAACGCGTTTGCACTAAAAAAGACATTCGTAAATACCCTTTTGTCTATCGTTTATCGTATAATTAGTCGACATTGTTTGGATTTTTCGTGGACCAAATTGATTTTGAATGCGATAATGCCCTTCATTGCTCTTGTAACTAAATTGAGTCATAACAGAATAAATTATGCTGTATTTGGGCGGGCCAAATGCAAGAACGGTATTTCCTTGTGGTCACTTGGTCAAGAAGAAGATAGTAACACAAAACATTTGCTCATTTGCGGACCTTTGGTGATATTGTGAAAAAGGACAGACCAATAAAAAAGACAGCTAAAGTGATTAAAAAGAAGGTCAATCAAATTGTTGCTAATGAATCTGATTACAATTCACACTAGTTATTTATGCCATGCTGAGCTTGCGTCGGTCACAGCACCCGCGAACGTCCTTCGCGCGTAAATCGCGTGTCACATGTCACGTGTCATCCGTCACGCGCCAAGTGACATGCCACTTCGCTTCCGCAATTGGCGACGAGCGTTGCGAATTAGTGGTGGTAAAAAAACGGATATAATGAGTGTGTTGTGATTTGTTCGGTGAAATACTTGCAGGAAATTTTTATCGAAGAATTACACTGTTCCATATGAAAATGAAAATGTTCTGCAGTAGGAGGATAAGCTTATTTTTCGAATACTTCAGTACACACGTGGAAAGTTGTTTCAAATTATTTTTCATAGAAATATCAACAAAAACCTAAATATAACAAAAAAGTTGCTCTAGATTTTATATTCTTAAATGTAGCCGTAAATACATTTTTCTCGTATTTGTCTAATGTTGGAAACGTAACTAATCTATGGGTTCGATTTAATTTTATTTACAAAAGATTTTCTCGAATTCGAAACGGTATTATCATAAAGCTAGGTCGCAATGATATGATATTTAATTTCAAATAAATCCATTTGAATCAATTAAAATGGCTATATAAACTGGCTTGGAATCAGAAGCGTACTTAATAAGTGTGACATCGGACGAAAGCGTAAAATTCCATTGAACATCGGTTAAAAGCGAAAACTGAAGTTCAAGTTGAATCATATTATTATCCATAGCCCAAAGACAACAGCCAAATTCTGAACTAACAAGATAAAAAGATAGCAGCAAATGCCTGTCGTAAACATAAGTTTTTTTTTTAAGAATAAAGAAGACTGCTAAATTTATTGTGGAAAATTGTTAAAAGACATTTGTCGTTTGTATCATTTCAATCGCGCATCGCGTATCGCGTTAAAACCTGTTTAAATTAATTCAATCATTTTCAAGGTCATAGGAATAAATTGTAAATATCAAAAGCTTAGGTAGACAATTCTGTAATCAGTTTCAATGATAAGACATGCAAGCTCAGATTATGTGAAATGTCTTGCGTCGCAGAACACAATATAGAGTCAAAGCACAATATTACGCCTTGCAGCGGCGCGGTGGTACGACGCATCGTGTGCTTTGGCTTTCTAACTGAATTTTATGGAACTGCTCCTCGCATTGCTCGAAGTGAGCTGACTGTTCTCATGTAGCTGTGTTCCGGTAGGCTGGCTTGCACTTGGCCCGGTTATTGGGTCTCATTGTGCGCGGCTCTGATGCGGAATTGACTTATGATCCGAAAGATTCATGTCTTTTTCAATTATTTTTTTTCGTCTTTCGATTGTTTTGTTTAGTTTTTTAGAACCTAGATTAGATAGAGCTGTAGTACTAATCTGTAGGGTTTCATATCTCTGTAGTGTGATGAGTTATCACTTTTCACGATAACTTGAAACTAATTGTTTTTGTAACCATACTCGTGTATTACTGTTAAGATGTAGACGAAAGCCAACACAATACGAATTATGCGGCACATTGACAACAAATACTTTTAGTGCTGTTATGCAATGTGCATATGGTAGGCTTACTTTTAATCTCGGAAA